CCCGCCGCCACCGCCTCCCCCCCTCACCCGTGCCCCGTGCGATGCAACAGGGGTGCCCATTGGCCAGCGCGCGAGGGCAACGGGCGCGGGCCTGGAGACTCAGCCAATCGGAGCGTGGCTTTCAAAAGGACGACAACGAGAGGGCCCAGGATCTGCCGGGGAGGGAGCGTTGGCCTACGTCGAAGCGGCGGCCGGAACGGAGGGCGGGAAAAGGCAGGAGGCGGGGCGAGCGCTGATTGGATAGCACCCGCGCGCCAGCTGCCCCAAGGTCAAATGAGGAAAAGAGAGTAACGACCCGGACCAATCAGTGATGAGATCTTAGAATAAATGCCCCCACGGCCTCTCCTGCCGTCCTCTCATCACACGAAATGTCTCTGTAACGCATATTCTGATTGGTTTAGATCTCCCGCCCCTTTGAGGAGTCCGAGCGGGTAAAATCACTAGAACCAATCAAATGAAGAGTCCGCAGAAACCCCTCCTTCCTGTTGCCTTTAGAAAACCGGAAAGAGATGAATTCACGAAAGGCCCACCTCTCGCCGTTAGGGCGGTTTCAAAACAATGAGTCCACCAATCGCAGTTATTGTTTTATCTCGCTAAAACTGGTATAGATGGATCGTTTTAGGGAAAGTTAACCAGATTGGCCGTTCTTCAGAGGCTTGCCCCACAAATTTCGCTGTCCACACAGAATCTGGAAGAAACTTGGTAGCCTTTATGAAAAGCAAAGCATTGACTTCAGAGTCCTGGAGGCTTGAGAATAGAGACTGGACTAACAACGGTGGAAAAGTTGCAAAGGAAACGGTCCCCTCCCCTTGGCAGTACACGGGCGCCTCTCCCCACGACCCTGGCTTTGCGGCGTCTCCCCATGATTGGTGCCCAACGTGGGATGGGCGCTCTGCGGCGACCACGGAGCCTCCCCCTCCGGAAAGACCTCCAGGCGTTCGCCCATCGCACCCCCAATCCTCTAATCGGCTGTTCAGTAAATCTGGCTGCTTGGCGTCTACACTGACGAGGTCAAACACACGGATCCGCAATTAAGCCTCACGCTAAAAAAAACAAACGCCACAGGTCGGGCACGGTGGCTCACGCCCGTAATCCCAGCACTTGAGGAGGCCGAGGCAGGACGATCGCTTGAACTCAGATGTTCGAGACCAGCCTGGGCAATATAGTGAGGCATCCTCGTCTCCAGTTTTTTAAAAAGAGAAAACCAAACGCCACAGCGTTTGTGTCTAATGCCGCACCACCTGTCGCTTCCAACTCGAAAGACAAAACTTCAGCAAGAGACACGATCGAGATACACAATGCGGACGTCCGCCGCCT